TACGGGGCTTCAATGGCCTTGGAAGCCGACAAAGAACGTCAGAGTTCGTAGAATCGGAAGAGACGGAGGGGCGAAAAGCGCCGTTCAAACGCAAAAGAAAAGCAAACTCTTTCGCTCGCCTCACAGCGTCTAAAGCCTTTTCAAAGTCTCGGTTATCGAATTCTGCGCGCGCCCGTGGAAGACAAATGGACGCTTTCGGAGACTGCGATGGCTGCCCTTCGAGAAACCCAAAGCGTTGTGACGGCAAGAATGACCTCAAAAGAAGTGGACGGCCAAGATAAACAAGGATACGAAATGCGAGGGTTAGGCTTATCGACTACCGCCCGCGGCGAGATACTGTTCTGTGCCGCGGAAGCCTAAGGGGTTTTAGAATAAGAAAAAAAAAGGCTGTCTTCCGGCTGAGTCCACTTATGCTAGAAGTGAGGTGACTTCGCGTGGTCCGCATATCAACGCACATGTAGAATAGCGATTAAAGCGTATGGGTGCGCATGTTCGTTCCTCAGAAAGTCACTTAAGACGTGAATTTACCTAGCACCAGTTTGCTCGTTATGTCTTGTTCCCACCCGATGTCCAGTCGATCATTATACATGTAGACATCGCTCTTGTTCTGTCGTATGCTACGTCGATAATGCTATCATGTCAGCTTTCCGCGCAAAACGAGCTGTTTGTAGCTCGATTATGTGTAAATGGGACTAACACGTAATTGAGTGAAGGAAAGTGTAAACTTAAGGACTCGTTCTTCTTGTTAGACACGCCCCGCCGCGGTGGTCTAGTGGCTAAGGTACTCGGTTGCTGACCCGCAGGTCGCTGGTTCAAATCCCTGCTGCGGCGGCTGCATTTCCGATGGAGGCGGAAATGTTGTTGGCCCGTGTGCTCAGATTTGCGTGTACGTTAAAGAACTCCAGGTGGTCGAAATTTCCAGAGCCCTCCACTATGGCATCTCTCATCATCATATGGGGGTTTCGGGACGTTAAACACCACATATTAATCAATCAATGTTCTTGTTAGACACAATACTATTGAGGACTAATAGGCGATGTTGCCAGGGAAAGTATAGGGGTTGTTATTAGAAGTAATTGTATTGTAAATGGGAAGAAGGAAAAGTGGACGGAAAAAAATAACTTGCCACCGGCATGATGCAAACTTGCGACCTTCAGATAACGCCTCCGGTGCCTTACCACAGAGCTATAGTGGTGATCCCCCCCCCCCCCCCGATCCCCTTCCCGTCCCCCTTATGGGGCATATATATATATATGTGTATTTAAACGTAAAGCCCTATAAAGTGCACAGGAGGATGATCACCACCATAGCTCAGTGGTAGGGCATCGGAGGCGTTATCCGAAGGTCCCAGGTTCGCATCATGCCGGGGGCAAACTATCTTCACGTCCACTTTTCTTTGTTCGCATTTTTTTTAATCTAGCTGAATTGAATTTTTGAATTTTATTCATCAAGCGTGAACATGAAAAAGTGCATGGGTACAGATTCAGTGGGAGGTCCCAAGGTAAGAACCGCAGGCGGGACCTCCCATGATGAAAAACATTTACTATACAATTAGTTGTAATAACAACCCATACACTTTCCTTGGTATTATTGACTGTTACTTCTGATTAATACAAGAAATTGAAACTCACGTGATGAGAAAGTGTAGTCAAAATGCGTAGGGCCATATTTCGACGCTGGGCACACCATCCAACGAAATTTCAATAAGGAAGGATTGCAGCAAAAAGCAAAGTCCACTTTATATACAGAAACGACGATTCTGTGTGGCGTTTTTGTGCAATCCTTCCTTTCCGAGTGACCAACTAGCAACTAATGGGGCCTACTTAGTATGCGGAATGTTTTGTTGCGTCGCAACCAGCCAATACTTCTTTGTTAACTTCTTTTTCTCTACTTGCACAATGCAATTAGAGGTATTACTGCAGGACGGCTTTACGAACCGAACAACTCAACGTATTTATATTACTTATCAACACTTAAGCCAGTTCCTCGCAATCGAACATTTAGCGTTGCATTTAGTAACAGTTGAAGGCGCTGAATCAACGCTAACTAAATACTGTCCTCAAATATTAGTGGACCAGTTTATCGTGAGCAAAGAAAGCCGCGAACAAACTGTTGAAGCCAAGTAACTTCTTTTTCCCTTCCTTCTTCTGTCTTTTCCCCACTTCTTCCCTTCTCCCAGTGCAAGATAGCAAATTGTACGTGCATCTAGTTAATCCTGCTGTCGTTTCTTGCATCTCTCTTCTTTTCCCATGTCTTTCCTCTCTCTCTCTCTCTCTCTCTTATCTTTATATTCACCTTTCCGATTCCACCAGCGTAGGGTAGCCAACCGGCCATGTGCCTGGTTAACCTCCCAGCTTTTTCTCTTGTTGTTCTTCCTCCTCTGTCTCGCACACATAGGAAAAACGGAAACATAACCATAAACAGCGCGGAAATTATTATTCACGTGAAATTGAGTGCTTATGCAATTTTCTGGCACCACGGCGTGCCTATTATAGAAAACGCGGTAGATCTGAGCGTTAATGCTCGGCGTCTGAACCGTAGCCGGCCAGCAACTGTCTCGCGCGTCACCGGAAGAGGTGGTTAGGTCGACGACACTTTTTTTTTATGCTCGGTCACTTTCCGGAGCGCATTTGGAGAATCCCGGGTCCGGCTCCACGGAGCTTTCTGGTCCTCGCTCCTCGAAAAAACGAGGCCACCCTTCGGGAGCCAGTCGGGGCGGCATAATCCAGCCTTAATGACGCCCATTTGCGATCTAGGCCCTGCTTGCCATTAGCGAGGCCCGGACGAATGACTTAAAAGTGGTTCTCGTGGGAGGGCGCTCTGCCGCGCGAACAGAGGATGCACCTACCCGACGACGATGGTTAATCTGGCTGCCGTTTCCCGCTTTGTTCGCCTTTCACTTAGCCCGAAGCGTCGGGGAAGAACACCTTACTGTAGTTTGTCTGGAAACTTGGTCCATCCCTTCGTAGCAGCGTCGTTTATTCGCTAGTCAGGGCTTGTACATTCGCCGAGAGTCATCAACTCTAAGCGTGGCTGGTGCTCGTGTTCACTGCTTTAATAACACATCCAGAAAAGTGGCCAATTAGCCCTTACGGTGACATTTCAGTCAATTTTTGTTTCTTGTGTGTCTCCTGATGCAGATGACACCTCATAAAAGTACTTACTTGGTCTTTTTCTTCTCTTTTTATTCAAAGCATTTTTCTGGCTCTATCAAGCACTTTATGGGAGTTTGTTCTTTTTTTGCGCGTTCGACTTCATTTAATAATATAAGTACCTGGTGGACAGTAAAATTGAACCTCTGGCTTCAAGCACAGCAGCCCGAAAGGTTTCACGATCATAATTTTATGGTATTTACCGGACTATCACGTAAGTTTATCAAGAATAATTCTCAGACTGTTATCGTTATTAGTAGACGCGATAGCTTCATAAGAACTCATAAAGTATTAACACTATCCGGCAGTCATTCGATGTTTCAGTCGCGCAAGAGCTACCAGCATTTTCGGAAGTTCTCAGCATCAGCGTTTCTACACCTCGACAACTATAGCTACTTTCTGAGCGATCAGTCTTGAAACGTTGGAAAGTCCGAGCTTCACACCGGAAAGCGAAGAAGGCAGCACTGAAGTTTCTATGAGCAACCAGCCACGTTGAACGACTATGTGTCTCGCGTGTACGCGTGTGCCGTTTGCGCTGCACCACATTCACTCTTTATCTTATTCATATTTTACCTTTCTGCCTCTCCTACCACTCCGCCCTGCCACAGTGGTCTAGTGGCTTAGGTACTCGGCTGCTGACCCGCAGGTCGCGGGATCAAATCACGGCTACGGCGGCTACAATTTCGATGTAGGTGAAAATTCTGTGGGCCTCTGTGCTCAGATTTGGGTGCACGTTAAAGAACACCAGGTGATCGAAATGCCGGAGCCCTCCACTACGGCGTCTCTCGTAGTCATATGGTGGTTATGGGACGTTAAATCCCACATATCAATCAATCTCCTACTATTTTACAGTTCAACATAGCCAACTACGTATATGGTTAACCTGCGACCCACCGTGGTCGTCAAGTGGGTATTGCGCTCGGCTTCTGACCCGCAGGTCGTGGGATGGAATCTCCGCTGCGGCGGCCGCATTTTAGACTGAGGTGAAAATGCCTAAGGCACGTGTCCGTACATTTGGGTGCATCATAAAAAAAAAACACCAGATAGTCAACATTGAAGGAGCCCTTCACTGCGGCATTTATTATAATAAAATCGGTGTTCTAGGATTTTAAACTTCAACAATTATTAACTTTTGTTAACGTGCCTGCATTCCCCACAACACTCTTCTCTCTCTCGCTCAGACTTTCTTGACGTTAAGTATCCGTGGTGCTGGGAACAGCCTCGGCAGTGCTCTTCGGCAGGAGTTGGCGATATACCGTTTTACAAACTGGTGTGGGATATTGCACACACCCTCATTTCTTGAAATATTTATGTTATGACCTTGTTACACGTGTTACTGATGCCTTGTACAAACCGCGCTGAATGAATGTCTAGGAACCATCTAGACAATCTTAGAGCCGTTTGATGAGATTACGTGCACAACGGAAACATTACAGGTTCAAAAGTGTTCTTCTACATTCTTCTAGAACTTCGTCGCTGCTAGCGATAATGCTAGAATATTCAGTGGCACATGCATAAATGCCCATGCAATTCACTGCTTGTCAGTTTTATTGACGGCCGACGGTCACTGCTATCAATATACAATATGTATAGCTTGTAGAGTGGTGTATCGTTTTCTTGGCACAAGTTTGCCCAAGTAGAAACAATGAGCCTTCACAATAACGACGGCTGCCTTCTTAAACGTCACAAACCCTTGGCATTATACTCCCATCAGAAAATATGAAGTCCTCAAACCAGCGCATGGTATATGCTGTTCAACAAGAGCGCTGGCGTTCTTGTGCGCAATATCTACAAAAGCAGTGATGCCACATAGCTGCCCACACAGATAAAGAGTTCATCTGTAATAGAATGACGGAAAGTTTCTATGGCTTTGTCTATTTTGCAAGTATGCTATTGATATCGAAGAATCACGCAAAGCACAGTGTCTCGATGATACGTGTAGTCGCCATAGCGACGAAGCTTTACTCGAAGTCACCACCTAGGCTGATATGAGGTAGGGTCAAGGCTTATGTGTTTAGCTATCACATGAAAAAGCTTTAAATTTCTCAATTACTAAGACTATCTTCTGACGCACTCAGGTTGAAAAAAAAAAACGCAGTATCGAGATTTTGTACGACTGATAATAGTGTGCCCTTGTTAAGAGTGAAAAAGCTTATTTCCCCGCTACTGAAGAGCAAAAAACTAATTTTCGGAACAAAACTAAACTTAGAAAAGCTGCGTGTGATCCACTCGTTATAATAAAGTAAGCTTGTAACCACGTTGTATGAAAACAGCGCGCAAGTGAGCAGTGTGCATCCGTTTCCGTGCTGTAAACTGGGTATCCTGTAAAGCGTGCACCCTTACATGTACAATACAACTGCGGTGTAGCTATACTATAGGCAGAGAACACAAGTCAGTCGTTTCAAATAGGTGTAAGGGCCGGTGTATGTGTTGTTTCTTTACTTGGATTACTAATTATTACTAGTACATAACTTTGTCATTGCGGTGCCATATTTCAGATTTGATATCTATTTGCTGTGATTGAAAGAACAGGTTAGAAAGTCACTTCTTGCATGGCATATATATATATATATATATATATATATATATATATATATATATATATATATATATATATATATATATATATATAATGAGCTTTTTTTGAAATGAGCCAAATCCAAAACCAAAACTAGCTCACACAAGGCTCTTTTGGCGCATACATACCCTACCTTTCCTAAAAACATTACTAATAATTTATTACTTAAATGAGTCATTTATCATTACTCTTTTAGAGGAAATTCAAAAGTATGCGTGTGCCAAAACAGCCTTATTTGGCTAGTTCTGTTTGTGTGTTTGACCCATTTTGAAAAAAAAAAAAAGCCCAATGAGACAGATGCTTGGGCTAGTTGGTGATTGGGAATCAACGCTCTTTCTGTCCTTGTCTCTTCTTCTGTATTACATGCACACACTCTGATAATAAATAAAATTTATTGTAATGTTTCTCCAGTTTGAAAACTGCGTATTTGCCTTGTCGCAGGTGACTCCAAGCTCTGCGCCTTCAGTCAAGGCACCCGGCGTTCGGTAACAGTCAACAAGGTGCCCAAGCCAATTCCAAAGCGAAGCAGCAGCGTAAGTAATGGGATGGATCTTCTCCACCGGCCTGCGGCACCCCGTCGCAGTGCTCTGGACGTTCATCTTAGCGGCGTTCATCCAAGGGCGCTGGGCGATGTCGACATCGTGGCCAAGGTGGGACGTGAACGCGACGACGACTACTACGATCACAGACGCACCAGTGACGTTTCTTCCGTGCCGACTCTCCGAATTGACGTGCGACAATGGCCGCTGCGTGTCGCTGTCCCGGTTCTGCGACGGCTCGGACGACTGCAAGGACGGCTCGGACGAGCCCATCGGCTGCACCAGTAGGAGCCTTTCTTGATTGTTCTGCCTTTTTTTTTCTTGCCTGTTTATATAAGTAGCTCCTGACCACACCACGTTTAAAGGACCACATAACTTCGATATAGAGGAAGTGGTTTGCTTTTCGCTTTTGTTCCCCTTCTTACATATCTTGGGCTTGCCGTTTATTTCTTCACAAAACTTGTGGAACGTCGGCGCCAAGCGTTGAGCCGGTCAAGATTGCTCGTATCTTGACAACGCGCTGCCATCTGCTCTTTCGCAGTCGCACACGCAGAAAACGAAGCGAAATCAGTTTCTGTAGGCCCGTGTACTCAGATTTGGGTGCACGTTAAAGAACCCCAGGTGGTCAAAATTTCCGGAGGCCTCCACTACGGCGTCTCTCATAATCAAATGGTGGTTTTGGGACGTTAAATTCCACAAATCAATCAATCAATCAATCAGCAAATTCAGTTGGTCACGAACGGTAGTCATGCAAGGAGACGTCCGAGCGAGCATGCGATTTGATTGCGTGGCAAAACGCTCTTGGATTCAATTAAAAACAGACGTCTCTCGTACATCAACCAATCGAGAGCTTTTTTTTTTCTCCTGACGTCATGTGAACGAACTGCTGGGGTCACGAACGTTGCAGCAGAAACGGGAAACGCGGGGAGATAAAACGAGCTCAGTGTCCTTATTTCTGGAAGTTGTTCAGGGCCATTTTAGGGACGAGTGAATAGTTCTTTCCTCGTCTTTGCTACCCTTCTCACAGGAGATATCTCTTCCTTGCCAATTATTTCTTCGTAAAGCACGTCTACGATGTCCGGGCTAAACATGGGCCCATCAAGACTTCGGGCTTGCCGGCTGCACGCTGTTATCTCCGATTGCACAATCGGAAACACACAAAATGAAGTAATACCTGTCGATTGTGCAGGATAGTCATGCGAAACAAGGAAGAACGGGCGGGCGTTTGCAAAGCGAAGCAATGCAGGAGACAGTTCACATCTGATATTTCGCGTATATAGACCAATGGTGCGAATGTACCATATTGAGATCACGGGAATTGCTATTCTCGAGTAGCGAAGTGCTCAATTTAAGGCGAGAAGTGGCAGGAAAGAATAACCCGCTTGCATTTTTGGTTTATTTTGGCGTGCGGATCACTTCAGTCGGCCAGGTATGGTGTCGTATGCTGTGATCTCATGCTGTCGTTGTCGCTAGGCATAAGGTAGGCAAAACTACATTAGCTTAGCCGGCTGTTGCACACGCTCGTGCCATTGAGGAGTTTTCTTCCTCTTGTTCTCCGAGCGCCATGAAGATGACTTTAGCGCAGGCAACACCGCACGTAGCAAAGCCACCTGTAGCATACCGAGCACGTGCTCGTGCCAAGTACGTCTTTCTTCTTTTGTTTTTCGAGCACCTCTATGATGACATAAAGTGTAGAGAATATTACATGCCCGCGCTAAAGTAGCGAGAACCATGTACAAACATTATGTACAAAAACCGGAAGCAAGCACGAAATGGAAGAGAGAGAAAGAATGAAAAAAGAAAGAAAAAATAGAAACAACTAGAAAACCACAGGGGAAAAAAGACAAAAAACGGAAACGAGGAAAAAGAAGAAAAAGAGGGGAAAAGAGAAAAATTGAAGATAAACTAAAGACTGTCCCGCACCGTACTTCAGGCTTGGCGCCTCTAGTGCGAAGCAGGCTCACGTTATTCACCAGTATAGACCCTTCTCAGATTTGTAAAGTTTGTTTTTCTGCTGTGCATTTTGAACAACTAATGGCGGCTAGTCACTAACTGCAAACAGCCTGATCACGTGCGGTTGGCTTACGCAACGACGTGGAAAACGTAGAGTCGGCTCTCTCGATATAAGCACGCATAGTATAGACAAGCCCTAGCATGCTCAACTAGGACCGCGTCTCCGCTTGAAGCGTGACGGGGGCCGCCATTACTCGGGCAAATGTGCGGTGCAGAGAAGCGCACTTGCGAATTAAAGAAAGGGGGGCATGGCTCACCACAGTCGCTTCACAGCTACTTGTTGGGCGGACTGCTGCTTTCATTTTACGCGAACAAGTGGTGGGTATTAGGATTTACCCGATTTCTCTGGCACATGCCCCTTTTCGATTTTGGGGGATGAGAGAGATAGGGCGAAAAAGGAAGGCCGGGAGGTTAACCAGATATCGGCATCTGGTTTGCTACCCAGCACTGGAGGTGGGGAAATAGGGGCAAGAAAGAGGGGTAGATAGATATATAGGTAGATAGATAGATATATAGATAGATAGATAGATAGATAAATAGATAGATAGATAGATAGATAGATAGATAGATAGATAAATAGATAGATAGATACGCACGTGCAATTGTGAGAAAATCAAAACACACACAGGAAGGGCGTTCTGGCTACAACCATTCAGAAAGGCCGGTCGATCGCAAAAAGCGCACTAGCGCTTTCAGGGCCTTCTTCTGTGAAGTTGCATCTTGTCGATATTGTAGAATTCTTTCCTCCGATGATTTTCTTAAACTCCTCAGGGCTATCTGCAGTCTATAACGAAATGCGTAACTAATACAACCTTTGCCGCCTTGTAAGGTCTGCTACCGTTGTTCATTCGCCTTGTTTCACTGACGAACAACGTTATAATCTCTTTTTAACGACGTATTTCTCGTACGAACTGAACTTGCTATGACAGCGCGATTTCTCGATCTATGCCACGCAGATTGCAACCGGACCTTGTTCGGCGAAGTTGGAACCAAGAACCCAATCCGGATCGCGGAGCCCTTTCAGAGGAACCTGCCGTTTGTCTGCACGCTCTACTTCGTCGCGGCTGGTGGAGAGTTCGGTGACATCGTCGAGCTGACCTTCCTCAACTTCCAGATAGGCTCACTCGAGCTGGACAGGTGAGGCAGTCGTATGCAGAGACGTAATTCAGGGCCATTAGAAGAAGCTTGCATTTACGTACTCAGTGCGCCCAGTCTCTAGGATCTGCATTTACATGAGGCTAACATGGGTATAACAAACACCACGTTTCCTCGACTTCGCTAGGCGGCTTGATTATGTGACTTTCATATTCGATCGCCCTCCCTTAAGAAGGGTCATGTTCACTAACGATAGCATATACCCTTCGGTCACATAAAAATGTGAGTTCAGTATGTCCCTTGCTTTAGATTACATAATATTAGAGCATGTCAAATGCAGATTATCTATGTTATTGTGCGCGTCTGTACATGTATGCAGAAGCTGCCAGCTAGAAATACTATACAATTGTTGAGACATGCTGAGATTTGACGAGCTTTACCCCAGAACAGAACGTTCATCTGCGTTATCGCATCGTTAAATGGCATTATTGTCTTTAGCTCGTATAATAATTTTAGTTATGAGTGCATGGGTAGAAGAACTCAAGTAGGCATTCAATTAGGCAACGCGACTGTGCCATGTTATAATACGAGTGTGTTGCATATTGCTCCCAAATTATTGTCGTTAAGTCATGAAGCTTATGACTCGTTGATCCCCGTTTTCCTGCAGGAACCGGTCGACAACCTGCTTGAACGGTCATGTACAAATAATCGAGCCTTCGACATCGGCGCCCATCGTGCGGACCCCGCAGACCCGAGGTTTCAGTAAAATTCTCTCCGCCGTGCGGGGTGAAGCAGCCTCGCCACACCTGGCGTCCCTCTACGACGGTTCAGACGGAGAGCCGGAGTTCGGCTACTTCTGCGGCGACATGGCCACCAACGGTGGTTCGGGCACCGGTGGAAGCGCCACCTTCTTCTCGGACCGGAACAACGTCACACTGGTCGTAACCGTGCCCAGTCGTGCCTCCTTGCACATGTACAGCTTCAGCATGTATCTCACATTTCGCTTTCATCCGAAGAGACCTTCCCGGACACGCTACGGCACATCCGCGAGCCCTCACGACATCGGCATGGCGACAGCGGGAACGTACTGTGACCGTGTGTTCGAACATTGCGACCGCAAGCGCTGCAAGATCCGCTCACCCAACTTCCCGGGCTTCTACCTGCGAAACTTCACTTGTACTTTCACCATACGCCAGATGGTGGCACCACCGGGCAAGCAAGCACAGATAGTTTTGTATCAAGACAACGAGTACAAGATCTCCATTTTCACGGGTCGCCGCACCGCTACGACGTTTTCCCCGAGGTCGCTCACTACCGACTGTCTCGGAGACGTTGTGAAAATCTACGACGGACCGAGCGCGGACCACTCGCCTCTGCTCACCGAGTTCTGCGGCACGGGGGTGCTACCGGAAGTGATTTCGAGCGGACCGGAAGTGACTGTGGTGCTCCGAAGCGTGGCCGCGCAACAAATGCACAGCTCGCGGCTCGAGCTCGAAGTGAAGGTGCGCTTCGTGGATGTGAAGGAATACAAGCTGGGTCACGGCAGGTGCGAGTTCCACGTCGACGGCAAAGTCGAGCGCCAGGGCCTCGTGCACACGCCGGCGCACACGGTGCCACCGAATACCACCTGTCGCTACCGATTTCATGGCAGGTCTCCCACAGATCGCGTCTGGCTCTACTTCCTCTCGTACTTCGTCGAAGACAAGCACCGCTGGTCGAGTGAGGAGAAGTGTGACCTGTCCAGCATCGATCTCTTCGACGTGCCTCTCCTGAGGCCCGGTAGCAACACTACTGCCGATGCCTCCAACACCAGCGCCAGTGGGGACATCCCCGGAATGTCCTACCGCTTCTGCGAAAAGAACTCCCCTCGCATATGCGCGAGAGCGGCAGAATACCCCAACTTTATACCACTTCGTCCCTGCAGGTACCCCGATGAATCCTATCTGTCCAGTGGTGCCGAGCTTGTGCTCGAACAGAAGTTCTACAAAACCATCGAACTACCTGTCCGCAGGAGCTTCTTCTCAGCCCGATACGAGTTTGTGGACACCGAGCAACAAGGCACTGATATGGGACCACGTCACGGGCCTTGCCACAGGCACTTTCAGAGCAGTAACTCCAAATTCGGCATGGTGTCATCGTCGAAGAACGTCTTTCTGTACGGTCGCGGAGGTCGCGAGAACGTCACTTGCTCCTACTACTACTCCGGCATGACCTCTGAGAAACTGAGGCTGTACCTGGTCACCTTGAACCTGCCGGCGCTGGGATGCGAGCATTATTTCGACCAAGTAACGCAGAGGTACAACTGTCGCGTCACCGGTCGCCAGTCGGGTCGCATCTCGCTCTTGCATGTCATGGACCACTGGAGCGATACGTACACTCCCATCGGCTGTTTCTGCAACATTACCTCGCAACCCCGCAAGCCCATACTCATCGAGTCGGTGGGGAACAACGTCACGCTGACTTTCACAGTAAGCGGCATGACAGCGCTGGAGGACTTCAACAACTACGGCTTCGAGGCGACGTACGAGTTTCGACCTGCCACTTCGTGCGATACCAGCACGGAGCTTAGGAACGGCTCACAGGGCGAGCTGACGTTCACGGCTCCTGCCAGTGTGACCGGCCAGGAGCTCCCCCTGCGCTGCCGTTGGTTCATAGAGGCATCGCCGCGCAAGTACCTGTACCTCAAGTTCCAGGGACGCGACGGATCCCGGGGCTGTCCCGACTCGGGAAACAGGTGCGCTCTCTTAGTGATAGAACATATACTTGAGCCAGAACCGTTAAACACTGAAACTATAGTCCGACTAACACATTTGGGCTTTTATTTATTTATTCATTTATTCATTCGTTTATTTATTTGGGCATCTTTACAAAATGATTACAAAGGTGCAACACCAGGTGCAATGCCGCCGAAGCTAGCAAGTTTTATTGCAAGAGACGCTTTCACATCAAGAAATAGTTCAACAGATATACCACCAGTAATGTGATCGTCTTTTTTTATTTCAATTTGTGGCGTGAGATATACTGGCCGAGATCAAGCAGTTTTGCGTGACTTATCAAGAGGCATGCAACTCGTGCGCGAGAAGCAGTGACGTCACATGGCATACAGATGACGCGTCGGAGCCAAAGCCTCGTAGATCTACGCATTAAAAAAAAGGCCCCGTATCTGCATGTTTCACTGCAAATGTCGTCGAAAGACGATAATATTGCGTGTGGAGAGAGTGAGCAAAACGTTTATTTGATGTTCTGCGCGAGGAAATCATTGAATTGTATTCTGGTAGCGCTGCGTTAGAGAGTTTTGATGCGTGCAGCGAAGGTGAACGGGCGCATCGAGGCACGCTAGACGAGCGCCATATGGCACTTATCTTCGAAAACGAAGAAAGGCGTGCGTGCCCACGGAGAAAGCTGTGCGTCTGTCTTGGATGCGATAAGGTGTACAACGCAAAGCGACGGGCAGGTGCCACCACTTTGTCGTCTTAGCAAAGCGTTGGAAACGCCTGCCTTTTCGAGCATCGCGTTGCATGCTCGAAAAGGCAGGTTAATTGCTTTTTAATTGACAATCACATAAGTATGAACGCTGAAACTTGAGCAATATTGGTGGGCACTGCGGATGGGGTTGGCCATTTGAGGTACTGTTTGGTGCCGTTTGGGATATCGTTACCACGGGCAAACAGACACATGTTCAGACAAACTGACCGACCAAAATTTTTGCGTCGAAGGTCCCCAAGGAAGACTATCGTCTGTAAAGGTGACGTCATAGCCACGGCAGATAAACTGGCGCCGACGCGTGGCCAGCTGTGCAGCGCTTTTGCGCAGTGGCCATATGATGCTGTGACCGGAGCAAGGAGGATTAAAAAGAATTGCTGGAGTGGAAGCTCCCGCAATGCCTTGCCAGCAGACGTGAAGCCACCTTTTGCCACCACCAAGATGGCGGAATCATGCTCTTTTCTGATGATGTCCACTTAAAGATAAAGTGGCTTCCATATGTTATGTAAATTCTACGTTCGTTATATAACAAAAGATAGTTGTTCCCAAATAAATAACACGCGGAAACGAGTATGAATGACTAAATCATCAAAAAACTTTGCCTCCAATCAGAGGCTCACTAAGGAAAAACTTGTAACTGTAAGGCGCACTTGGAGCATTATAAGACCCGAAAAAGTTCCCACATTACCTTGGTTGGGCGTGCGAGAGAAACACTTCATTTTAATCGCTGAACGGTGATAATTTATCATGCCCCTAGTAAGATGGCCGCCACAGCCGCCATCTTGCCAGAGGTATGGCTTCACTTTTGCGAAATCATTTCCACTCCAGCAATTTTTTTTTAAATCCTCCTTGGGCCGGAGCTGCTTGATAGCGCCCATCTATAGTGAACTAGAATACACTATAATAGCGTCTCTCATTTCGCGCGCATGCGCGTAGGTATAAGTGATGTACTTATAGCGGGACGTCTGCCAGTGTGGTATAGCGACGTATAGTGTGGTAGAGCGAAGTTGCTGCTTTGTGACGCAGACGGGCGGATGAGCTTAACTAAACGAGTTCTATAGTTGCGGGGCAATGAGCGAATGAGCGTAGGAAGAGCAAACAGAAGAAGGCTGAGCGTGCTGAGAAGACACCGGAGCACCTTAGTTCACGTTACATATGTCCTGGCATAGCGAACTAAGCCACAGCTATTTTTTTGTTTTTAGATTCAGTAATGAGTCAATATGCTTCAGGCCTTAGAAGATACAAACGATTGCCGTTAATCACAAGGTTGTGAATATGTTGTTGTAGAGTATCTGTGTTTTCGTATCGTAGCCTCCGCGATAAGTTTCGGTATCACGCACCCAGAGTCAATCGTTGAGGTCTCTCCCACAAGGACAAATCCAAGCACGAGATACGAGGACCTAAACATCTCGGTGAATGAACTTCTTGCATAGCTGCTATAGCGTTCCACAACACGTATGGATATTGCTAAAAAAAATGAGCAGTTATCTTTCATGTGCAGGCTAAATTTTATGTTTACTGGTTTATTATGGCTGGTGTAACAAACGACGTATGATGTACTCCAATATGTGTACAAAAATAAAGTGCGGGATTGGGCCAGTTGGTAATGCAGTATTAAACTTCGCAACGCAAAAACTTCCGACAACTAACACAAGAGGCGAGGACGAGCGCAGGATCTGCGCTCGTCCTCTTCTCTTGTGTTAGTTGTCGGAAGTTTTCACGTTGAGAAGTTTAATAATGTGTACAAACTCGGATATCTGTACCAGTTACGAGTGGCTTGAGATAGCGCTTAGCCCCGGCAGGCATGCAAATGAAACCTACTTCAATCAGAGATGACAGGGCAAGAAAGGGACAAATGTGTGTGCTAAGGAAAAGTAGTTCCTTATATAGAAAACCCTGAAACGCTTCTCCGTGTAGTCATTGAATGGATTCACTAAAGGCGTAAATTGCCACATGAGTCGACTGCCGCAAACATTTTTCGAAACCGCAAAGTAAGAACGGAAGTAGAGGGAATCGTCCCACGCTTTCAGAGATTTCCGTCTCCCCTTGTAGCAGTGAGCTTGCCGCAACCTACGCAGGGAGACGGGGGGTTTGACAAGGAGGCAAGAAGCTACGCCTGTTTGCCAGCGCGCTCAATGAACTTGAGCGTTTGATTAGTTTTTCTTATTTTTCTTACCGAACACGTGGCTTACCCTGTGTGGTCTGGCAAGTGTGCAATGAGCGATGCTCAAATCAGGTGTGGACTTTGTGTTGACAGTTTGGTCGTTCGTGCTTGGCGTGGTGACTTGGGTTTATGGCATATACGTGCCATTATCCTGCAGTTCGTGGGACAAAGCGGTGGATGTCTTAACGTTCATTTAAAAGAAGAATAAATAGTCTGTGAAGGAGCCTAGCACATCCCGTCTAGGATCGCATTGTAATGCATGTGACTGCTCTCAGGTGTTCGTAGACGCAGAAGAGGCACAGTAGCGGATTAATCCGCGAAACTATGGAAGCTTTCTACATTAAAAGAAGAGGAGACGCATGCATGAGTCATGCGCCGATTTTTTTTTGACACACAAGGAGTTTCTTATCTGCTTGGCTCATGTAGCATCGGGTGACATGTCTGAATTTTTTTTTAGAGGCGCGAGTGCTGTTTCTAAATGATTTGCTTCACTGCCTCACTTATACGCATGTATGCTACCGCCGGCGTTGTTTTTTTTTCTGTTTTGGTTTTTCGAAATAAATCTTTCTGATGCGAGACAGCGCTCGTACTGTGCATTTTTTCTTCCTTTTGTCATCGTCTATAGCGCTGCGCAAATCATGCGAACATTACAAATAGTTCAACTTTCTATTCTACCGCAATCGTATCACTAAGCGAGTGAAGTTTGAGTGATTTCTAGCTGAAGTTCAATTGTGAATTCCAGGCTGCACGCTACGCTATCATGTCTGGCTCAAATGTTCTCGGGAGCCCTGACGACCAATCGGCAGTGTTTTCCGACCGCGCTGAAATACGGGTTTCTAGAGGACAGCTTTTGATAGAGAACACCAGTCGATCCCGTGTTTTGAAAGCGTGGATCGTTCCCAGGTTCGTGGTGTACGCGGACGGCATCGTGCAGCCCGTGGCCGTCGTCTGCTCGGGCGGCGTCCACGAGGAGACGTCGCTGTCCACGGACTTCGACATCTTCTCGGCGTCGTGGTACAACGAGTCGAGCGAGCAGCACGCCCTGGCAGACCGCGTGGTCATCGAGACGGTCGCCTTCCGCGCCGCCCAGTTCCAGCTCCGGTGGCTGGAGGTGACGCGGCCCTTCCTGAAGACCTCGTCGGGCCTGACGCTGCGCAACGTGAACTGCCTGCACGAGTGCCCCGAGTTGAGCGCGTGCATCTCGCCCGAACTCTGGTGCGACGGCATCGTCCACTGTCCCTCGGGACACGACGAGAAGCCCGAGCACTGCCGACGCTTCCCGACCTTCTACGTGGCGCTGGGAGCTGGCGCCGGATTCGTCGTGATTTGCGCCTGTCTCACGGCCCTCCTGCTCTGGTGTCGAAGCAAAGACAAGAGCAAGGAGGAACCGCGCCTGCGCCCCGCCGACGACATGCCGCTGGAGAGCCCGGACAGCTGACCCTGGCATTCGATTCTGGACCCCGTGGCGGATGGTTCAGAATCGCAGGAGACGGCTGTGGTCTCGGCGAGCGCCGCAGCGGTGCGTCCCATCGATGTGGTTATGTCCATGATGCCTGCTCCCGGCGGTGCTTTGCCGGCGACGTTGCAGGGAACACTGTCTTCGAGGATTCGACGCACTGACGTGTCGCCGCCGCCAGCCTACACGGCAGCCGATGCGGCGGCAGACATCTACGTCATCAAGACGATGAGATCTCCCTGCCTTTAGCGATGCTGTCTGAATATATCGCTCTCAGCTTAATACTTGCCGTGCAAGTGAAAATGCCTTCGAACATAACGAATGAACGATGTGCGCTTGGTGTGGCTCATTATGCGGACGGGGTTCGGATTGCGCTCGGTGTCACACGGCAAGCTGTTTCTTCGTGAGCCACTGAAATCTAGGTGCGCCGCCACAGAGCGTCATGTTTTTGTGATCTTCGATGTCGTCCAGAGTGTGCTGACTCTTTGTACCTGTACCGCTCTATATTGTGAAAACATAACGCTGTAGAGAGAGAGAGAAAAAAAACAAGAAGCGACTGTGTTATCGAATATTATCTCCTGACGGTGTCTTGCAAAAGACAAACATGCTCACACTTGTGATGTAGTGTCTTAAAGAGCGTATTCTGTGTGACAGAGTTTATATTTATCTTTGAAACAATAAGGTAGTGTAGTGTGTATATATGTGAAATTATATTCGGAGTAACGTATTAATCAGCTACACGTACGTGACAGTATAGTTTAATGTGTTTTATGTGGTTCCGACACTATGGTCGTTGATGACGTCTATTTAAGTGTCCGTCTATGCGTCCGCGAGATCATAATGCTAATTTATACGGCGGCTATTTCTAGCGTTTGGTGCCGTTAACTCATGGTATCGTCCATTGGCAGATTCGGAGCACTATAGCGGTGGCACTTCTTCTGCTCCATTCGGTGCAAGTCTGTTCGATTGGCAGACTGAGACCACTCCACATATGCTCCACTGACAGATCCGGCGCAGCTCTGTCGCGATATTCACTCCACTACACTCCGTGGAGCAACTTCTTCTACTACACTAAAAGCAGCAGATTCAAGCGGAAGTCGCAAGCGCCCTGTGTCAGCACCTCCTATCTGGAATTGGGTGCCAAATGTGGGCGCGTCAACAGACGCCGGTGACGTCGGTTGCGCCTCGCGTCGGAAATCGCGTTTCCCCAGCGTAGAGTCACTTTGCTCAGCATGTCCACTCCAAGGAGGTGAAAAAAAATTGCCGGAATGGAAGCTCCCGCAATTCTTTACCAGCAATATTGAAGCCAGCTTTTGCCCACTAAAGACCTCCGAAACGTGGTATTTTCTGGTGGTGCCCGCTCACACTTCAAGTGGATTTGATTTGTTAGTCTAAAGTTTACGTTAAATATGAATGAAAAGATAATTGTTTTCGGAGAAATAATGCGCAGAGACTACTATCGGTGACCTAATCTCCATTGAAATTTGTCTTTATTTTGAGGCTAACTAGAGAAAACTAGTGACACAAGGACGCATTTTGAGCACTATCTGACCCTAAAAGGTTGCCACGTTAAACTCTTTGGGCGTGCGAGGAACACTCTCCTTCTCAATCGCCAAACGCCAACAGCTCATCATGCCCCTAGTAAGATGGCGGCCGCAGCCGCCATCTTACGGTTTGCACGGCTTCACTCGGGAGCGGGAATTCCCACTCCAGCAATATTTTTCAAACATCCTTAGTCCACTCGGGTAAGAACGCAGGCGCACGCACTGCGTTCCATTGTGACCCCGCCGTTGGCTTCAGAGATTCCAACACCTTGTTCCAGAGGGAGCGCGCTTGTTGCACTCGGTGTGTTCTCTTTGGTCGCTCTCCGCCAGAGCGGAGTGCTCCGGTGCAGAGTTCGTCGGCCACTCCGAATCCTCCAATGAATGACGCCATCAGACATAACCAATTTGGTGAAACTGTCACTAACTTGAAAAACGTAGCACTCTAGGTCCTTTGGGCTTAGTTACACAAGAGGGCCTCATGACAAAGTCACAGTGAAAATAAGTGTGCTCAGACGTCATTGTTGTTTTCTGTTGCGGCTATCTTCAGATGACGTGCTGGCTACAGTTTCTGAAAAGATCTGCCATAAACGTGCAGCATCAAATGACGTGGTTTCTATAGTTTTTTAATGGGCTTTTCTCGCCATTGTCGAACAGCATCGCAATGTTATCAGGAACTGACGTGACTACTTTATATTAACGTCGGTATAAGGAGCTTTAAAAACTGGTATATTTACACCATGATGAGAAAGTTAATCATGCAATCCGGAGTTATGTTTTAGTTAATATCAATTAAACAGATGCCTGCGTGGGTCGGGGTGTTATTGTGCGTGTTTGTGCGTGTGTACGTCTCTGTGTTTGTGTGTTTCTGCGTATGTGAGTATACGTGTCCGCGTTATTTCTTTCACACTGCTACGTTACTTGCACAGAGCAGCGCCTGTTTCAACACATAGATAAAGGCTGCTGCGTCTTCTGGTATATTACTAGTTTGTACCGCGTTACACGCGCAACCCCGCCCTCCTCCACTGGATTTGGGCGTCTCGTATAGGAAATGAAACATTGCTTCATTTCGAGATCATGGAGTTTAAAAGGACAAACTGCAGGGCTGGTTGGTTTGTGCGTAAGTCGGAAGAGTACTGCAAAGAATCACACTGATAACAGGTTAAGACAGAACATAGCGCTAAACTAACAATTCTGTGTTTATTGTACATGATCACATTTATGTGGACACCACATTGCTTTGTGTGCTGCCTCGCCACCTCCCCCTCTCTCATCGTTTCGTGCAATGTCGTCTGTATGTATATATGCGATCATGAACAATAAACACTGAGCTGTTAGGTTAGCGCAGTGTCCCGTCTTGATCTGTTGTCGTCAGGGTGATTATTTGGACCCCTGTTCCGATATGAGATAATGGCTTCAGTTCGTGATGGTGGCCACCAAATCAGAATAAAATACAGGAGCGATCGTATGCACACATTCCTATTTTATAGGACCCATTTGGGGCGTCTCTCCACCATTTGAAAACAACTGCCTTCTAGCTTGCTTACGCTCTGCAATCCGAAGACTACACGCTCGCCACTTTCTCGTCTAGATGGATATTACACGCTGTTAATGCACACGCCATTCATTAGAAGCATTGGGCTATAAATATATATACAAGATAAATTGCAATTATCATATGATAAAGATGCCCCCGTCCCCTCTTTTTTGCTTTAAAGGTTAAAATACAGCTTTCGGTGCTCAAAACTTTTGCCCAAGTGGCCGAAAATAATATGAACCTCTTCCGCCACGTCTCTCATAACTTAATGTTGTTTGTCCCGGGTTGGTGAACACTAAAAAAAAAATTGGTGGCAATGAATGGCGCATAAATGTTCATTTTATTCATAACTGAAAGCTAAAATGTGATTTCACCTTTTAAGACATACCGCGTGATTGAGATTCGAAATCTGATGTTAATGGGATTTTGTTATCACTGCTGATTTGATTCCGGGAAAGAATATACATGCGAGATTAATGCTGCACAAGATAAATCAGATAAGTACGCGAATATGCGCGAAGGCCTCCCTTGACTGTTGTATTGTCACATTCCTTCACGAAACAAGCACTTAGCGGAAATACTTAATTTGCAAGCGTCTGCACCCAAAATTAGGCATTTTAGGCAAAATTAGGCTGAATTTGACCTTTACTTGGGAAACCGAAGTCATCGTTTTATGCAAAACTAAACGAAGCAAGGAGGAGAAGCAAGTTTGCTTGTTGTTTTACTTATGCTTAAATATTTCCTTTTTACGCGATATTTGCAACACTTGAATGAAAAGCTACAAATTGGGACCTTCATGCATTTTTTTTGGTTTGGTGACGTAAAAACCCCACAATCATAAAAGTATTACATCATCACATCTTCCCTAACGTCCCTACCTTGGTCTCTTTGTTGCGTTGATATGAGCCGTCTTAGACTGAACTTTTACCAGCCCACTGCAAATTATAAGAAAAACTAGCGTGTCAGCAAGCGTGTCCCTGATATTATGTCACGCGGAAACGCCCCGCAGCCACGCATCCTTATGACAGGCAAGAACTTGTAACTTGTATTTTACAGAGATAACACATAAGTAGATTTCAGACACACATCACTGTGTATTCGCGAGAAAGCAGAGTTAGCATTTATTCAACTGACTCAACACAATCACCAACCCTCCGTTCAGTATCTCGTAGCCTAATGAAGCGCCTCGATAAACAATATCTCACTGTTGCACAGATGAGCCGAGGTTTCGCTAAGGCGTTCTTGCACGCCTTACGTATGCCTTTCACTGGACTAAGACGACTCAAAATTACAACTTCCGTGATTATTGACCATGCACGTCCACGCCTGTATGGGCTAGTCAACACTTGTCGTTATTTGAGGCTATTTTAGGCTTCTGTGGTTGTACGCAAGTGCCGTTAAAGAATATATGCTCAATTGTTCCAACTCGCCCAACAGCAAGATCTTTCAAGCCCCGTAGCCGATCATTTGTTTTTTTGTTTTGTTTTTTTGGTGCGCATGCATTCTCGCTTTTTTTTTTTTTGTCTTGGAGATTTCAGAAGTCATCGGGTTAGCACATGCTGCACCTTTTAAGTCAACAACAACAACAACAACAACAACAACAACAAAAGTTAACAGCGTGCCTGCGGGTCGTGTTGCTACGGCTGCCGTGTCTGCACAATGAATCGGAAGATGCAAAAATTAGGCATAGAAACAAGACTACTTCACTTTTATGTCTTGTTTCTTCGCCCCATTGTAGTTCGACTTCGATGAATAATGCAAATTGGACTACGCAAATAATAAAATACGGTGTGCTCTGTGCAAGTACCGAGTTTTAATAGAGATGAATGCTAAACTTTTATATCTGCGCTGTGCTATGAATGGAATGAATGAAGTGTTCTCAGTCACGGAGCTGCTTGAATGTCTTTTTTTTTTCTTTTTGGAGTAAAGAGTAATAAAACACTGAATTTCAAACGTGCCTCTTGTGTATTCTCAATACAGACTCCCAGCAATAATACGGCTGTCTAGCATGAAAGAAAATAGCATGCGCCTTTTTCAGATTCCCGGATGCTGCACAAATTGCGGAATGAAACAGTGGTGGGAATACCTTTGAGATGAGGATACTATAATGATTACCTTTCGCTGCTCGGTGTCTCGAAAACATATTCATTTTGTCAACTACATTGTGAGCAAGGATTCTGTGTAGGAGCTTAAACATCTTGTTTATTTTAAACTGTTCTTAATGTGGTCGGCATTATTTCGTTTTTAAAATGCCTTCTCCCGACCCTACAAGATTCCGTCCCACCCTTGATATGATGAGTTTACTATCTGACAACAATTTGTCGCGTTGCGTTATCGCAATACTGCCACGAAACGCTTTATCTCCGTCCGTTACCACGTGGGGCTTGCGTAAGCTTACACGGACGCCGCAAAGAGTTTGAATCACAGAAGATGAAATAGGTCATGTTT